AGGAAAAAAAAAATTTCTATGAATCCAGAAGTTGAGATTTCCAATGAAACAACAGACAAAGAACCTGGAGCTCGGGCGCGCTGGCTTGGGCTCGGCCGACATGCTTTCCTGCAGGAATGTTTGTTTAGCCGGCACTGCTCTCTGCAGCCTGGCATTCCGCCCATTTATCGGTAAATTCACGTGTGAGAGCCCCGTCGCTCTCCGACTCTGCCTCAGACACGCACATGTCAGGTGTCTCGCTCGGTCCAGAGTTTCAGGCCTCCTGTCCCCGCCCTCGAGCCTCTGCCTGGTCACCCCGTCCCTGGGGGGTGGGGATGAGGGGCGTCTCTGGCTGTGCCTCCTACGTGTGTGGGTCCGGCTCTTCTGGCCTCTGCTGGCCTCGGGGGCAGGGTCCTGGTGGGGGGGAGCCTGGAGCTCAGTGGGGCGTCCTGTGTCCACTCCAACCGCTTACGCCTCGTGTCTATGACTCTGGCCCGAGACCCTAGCGCCTCCGGGGACCCCAGTCCTCTGGGCAGGGGGGCTGTGTCCTGGCAGCCGAGTGAGGTCTGGCCCCACCACACCGAGAGCAGCCTGCGTGTCCCCCCACCTCCCCGTCCTCGCCCGCAGCCCCGGGAGCACCTGGCTCCTCCGTCGGGGTGACCGGTCTGCCTGTCACCAGGGACCCGCCTCCTGCCTCCCGAGACTGTGTCCTCCTCTCACGCTCCCTCCGCCTCTCGGTTCCGTGCCTTTAAGAGGCATCGACCCCAGAGGTCCGGGGCTCTCACTGGGCCGCCGGGGCCTCGGGTCTGGTGTGGGTTTGGCCGGGAGCCCGTGTCCGTGGGAACTGGATCTGGAGGTTTGCTAAGTGCCCTGCGGTCGGGCGTCAGGAGGGCGGCCTTCCCCGCTGCGGGCGGCTCGGCGTGTGGTTTTGAGTCCCGTCGAGGGCTCCTCCGGCCGGAACCAGCGGGAGGCTGTGGGCATCGTCTTCTTTAGCCGTTAGCCGGGGGGTGGGGGGGGGCGGGGGG